CTTTAAGCTTCAATTTAACATACATATCATATCGTTATTCTTAAAAACACAGACAATATGATCTTTTGAAAATATTAAATTATTCTTGAATTCATAATTTCACAATTTCTACTTCAATAGCTGTTTCCTGGAAATTTCAATATATCTTATACTTTTTATATCACATCATAAATTAGAATTTTTAAGCTTCAATTTACCATACATATCACAATTTTTAAAAACACGGTCGATATAATTTTTTGAAAATATATTATTTTTGATTTATAACTTGATACTTTCTTCTATAATAATTTTTTCCTGTAAATTTCAATATTATCTTATTGTTCTTATATCATATCGTAAACTAGAATCTTTAAGCTTCAATTTAACATACATGTTATATCATTATCCTTAAAAACACAGATAATATGATTTTTTGAAAATTTTGTAAAATTTTAGATTAATAATTTTGACAATTTCTTCTTTAACTATTTTTTCCTCAATATTTTAATAATGTGATCATATAGTTTTTATATGACATCATATACTAGAAGTTTTAAATTTCAATTTAACATACATATATCATTATTCTTAAAAACACAGACAATATGATTTTTTGAACACTTCAATTTATTTTTGAATTCATAATTTAACAATTTCTTCTTTAATAGTTTTTTCTTGGAAAGTTCAATAATATTATCTTATATTTTTTATATCACATCATAAACTAGAGTCTTTAAGCTTCAATTTAACATACATATCATATCATAATTCTTAAAAACACGGCCGATATGATTTTTTAAAGATATTATATTATTTATGATTTATAATTTAACAATTTCTTCTATAACAACTTTTTCCTGGAAATTTTAATAATATTATCTAAAAGTTATTATATTACATCATATACTAGAAGCTTTAAGTTTCAATTTAACATACATATCATATCATTATTCTTAAAAACACAGATGATATGATTTTTTGAAAATATTGTTTTATTTATAATTAGACAATTTCTTCGTTAATAATTTTTTCCTGGAAATTTCAATAATATTATCTTATAATTTTTATATCACATCATAAACTAGAATCTTTAAGCTTCAATTTAACACACATATCATATCATTATTCTTAAAAACACAGACAANTATAAAGGTAAGTATAGAGTATTATATATCATTGAAAAGCTTGAAAAAAATCCAGATCAATAAAAAAATAAAATATAGGTGGTTCCATTTAAAAAAATCTAAGTTGTATTTATAATTCAAAAACCGTGATGACTAGAAAAATTCTACCTGCACCATTGGATTCTCCGTGAAAAAATCTATTAGAACCCGTTTTTACTTTTTTACTAAGTTTCCGGATAGCCGAGATACGGGGGGTGCCTGAAAATCGTAAATTTTGAAATACTCCCTGTATATCAAAAACGAAGAGGTCTATGAAAATTTGGTTTGCGGTATTATAAGTTTTACAAAAAAGTAGCTCAGGTTCGCGAAAACCGCAACTTTCTATCTTTCATAATAACTGAGATATCCTGCAAACCCATCGAAATTTGGACACCCTGTACTTATGCATAACGGCAATAAACTGGGTTCGATACCGATTGCACATTCAAGTACAGTCAAAGAAGAATGCTACTGTAGCTTCTGTTATAAATAAAATCAAGTACAACGAACACAAGTGGCTGATATGTGTAGATCTAAAGATGGTGAATTTTCTTCTTGGACAACAAAATATCCATGTTTTTTTTGTTTGTGGGACAGCAGAGCTAAGTCTGAGCACTGGGTTAGAAAAGATTGGCCTTCCAGGCAAACTATGGTTCCGGGAAAGCTGAATGTGATAAATGAACCCCTTGTGTCCAAGGATCGTATAATACTGCCACCTTTACATATCAAACTAGGGCTTATGAAACAATTTGTCAAAGCTATAAACAAGGATGGTGAGTGTTTTAAATACATCGCTAAAAAGTTCCATAACTTGAGCACAAAGAAACTTAAAGCCGGAATTTTTGATGGTCTTCAAATAAGAAGGTTGATAAAGGATGAAAACTTTAATAGTTACATGACTGATATTGAAAAAAAAAGTCTGGAATGAATTCGTTTGGACTGCACAAAATTTTCTGGGAATCAAAAAGGACGAAAGCTATGCGGAGCATATTCCAGCAGCTTGGATGTAATATGAGCATCAACTATGGAGGAACGTTACCAGGGGGGTCACTGCAATGCTCACATGATGGCAGACTATTGTTGGAGCATTAAAAACAGCCCTCCTGAACCAAGTCAAGCAAGAAAATCTTATAAAAGAAAATTTTTTGATAAGTAGTGGTTGTTTTTCTTAATAAAATATAGATTTTTCTTAAAAAACGCGTTTTAATTATTATATCTCAAAAATTGAAGCTGATACGAACAATCTGTCTTCAGATCTGAAATCAGCACTCAGAGAAAGTATAATATTAGTCATAATATTTCATGCAACAAAAATGCTGTTTCCTTGTGTTATTTATGATTTATAATTTGACAATTTCTTCTATAACAACTTTTTCCTGGAAATTTTAATAATATTATCTAATAGTTTTTATATTACATCATATACTAGAAGCTTTAAGTTTCAATTTAGCATACATATCATATCATTATTCTTAAAAACACAGATGATATGATTTTTTGAAAATATAGTTTTATTTATAATTAGACAATTTCTTCGTTAATAATTTTTTCCTGGAAATTTCAATAATATTATCTTATAATTTTTATATCACATCATAAACTAGAATCTTTAAGCTTCAATTTAACACACATATCATATCATTATTCTTAAAAACGCAGACAACATGATTTTTTGAAAATTTTGTATAATTTTAGATTCATAAATTTGACAATTTCTTTTTTAATAACTTTTTCCTGAAATTTTCAATAATATTATCTTATACTTTTTATATTACACCATAAATTAGAATTTTTAAGCTTCAATTTAACATACATATCATACCATTATTCTTCAAAATGTAAACGGTGTGATTTTTTGAAAATTTCGAATTATTTTAGATTCATAAATTTGACAATTTCTTCTTTAACAATTTTTTTCTCGATAATTCAATAATATGATCATATAATTTTGATATCACATCAGAAACTAGAACCTTTAATCTTCAATTTAACATACATATCATAATTCTTAAAAACACAGTCATTATGCACTGACAAATCGTGCTTGCTATACAAACAAGATAAAAACATGGATTTATGTCGCTTTGTTGCGGAAGGGAAGATAGAACTACCTATAAGGAACCCGAAAATGTCAAAAAGTCAATTTCCCTAAAAATGGGATATATGCTTTTTTAACAATTTTTTCCTGAAAATTTCACATATATTATTTAATTGTTTTTATATCACATCATAAACTAGAACCTTTAACCTTCCATTTAACATAGATATCATATCATTAATCTTAAAATCACAGACAATACGATTTTTTGGAAATTTCGTTTTATTTTTTTATTTATAATTTAACAATCTCTTCTTTAATAATTTTTTCCTGGAAATTTCAATCATATTATTTTATAGTTTTTATACCACATCATAACCTAGAATCTTTAAGCATCAATTTAACATACATATCATATCATTATACTTAAAAACACAGACAATATAATTTTTTGAAAATTTCATATTATTTTTGAATTCATAATCTGACAATTTTTTTCCTTAGTAACTTTTCCTGGAAATTTCAATAATATTATCTTATAGTTTTTATATCACATCATAAACTAGAATCATTAAGCTTCAATTTAACATACATATCATATCATTATTCCTAACAACACAGACAATATGATTTTTTGAAAATTTCCTTTTATTTATAATTGAACAATTTCTTTTTTAACCATTTTTTCCTGGAAATCTTAATTATATTATCTAATTGTTTTTATATCACATCATAAACTAGAATCTTTAAGCTTCAATTTATCATACATATATCATTATTCTCAAAAACACACCCAATATGTTTTTTTGAAAATGTCGTTTTAGCTTTGAAATTATTATTTAACAATGTCTTCTTTAACAACTTTTTCCTGTAAATTTCACTAATATTATCTTATAGTTTTTATATCACATCATATATTAGAATCATTAAGCTTCAATTTAACATACATATCATATCATTATTCTTAAAAACACACACAATATGTTTTTTTGAAAAATTCGTTTTGTCTTTGAATTAATTATTTAACAATTTCTTCTTTAATAACTTTTTCCTGGAAATTTCACTAATATTATCTTATAGTTTTTATATCACATCATAAAGTACACTCTTTAAGTTTCAATTTAACATACATATCATATCATTATTCTTAAAAACACAGATATGATTTTTTGAAAATATAGTTTTATTTATAATTAGACAATTTCTTCGTTAATAATTTTTTCCTGGAAATTTCAATAATATTATCTTATAATTTTTATATCACATCATAAACTAGAATCTTTAAGCTTCAATTTAACACACATATCATATCATTACTCTTAAAAACGCAGACAACATGATTTTTTGAAAATTTCGTATAATTTTAGATTCATAAATTTGACAATTTCTTTTTTAATAACTTTTTCCTGGAAATTTCAATAATATTATCTTATACTTTTTATATTACACCATAAATTAGAATCTTTAAGCTTCAATTTAACATACATATCATACCATTATTCTTCAAAATGTAAACAGTATGATTTTTTGAAAATTTCATAATTTTGACAATTTATTTTAGATTCATAAATTTGACAATTTCTTCTTTAACAATTTTTTTCTCGATAATTCAATAATATGATCATATAATTTTGATATCACATCATAAACTAGAACCTTCAATCTTCAATTTAACATACATTTTCTGAAAATTTCGTTTTATTTATTATTTATAATTAGACAATTTCTTTTCTAATTTTTTCCTGAAAATATCAATTATGTTATATTTAATGTGTTAGATAGCATGATTAATATAAGAGAAAGAATTAGTCTGTATATAATGGATTTACTATTAAAAATTTATTTAAAACTCACTATTTGTTACTAAACAATATTGTATAAATATATAAGTTAGGATTAAATAAGAAAAATAATATAACATAGTACACTCTAAAAATAGTTGATTTAAACGGGTGATTTTGCGATTAAACTTCGATCGAAACATAATCTTATCCTTCCTCTCCTTCTTCCTCTTCGTCAACCTCCCCTTCTTCTTCGGCGGTTGCGTCTTGGTACTGTTGATACTCAGATACTAAATCGTTCATGTTCGATTCAGCCTCTGTAAATTCCATTTCGTCCATTCCTTCGCCTGTGTACCAATGAAGGAAAGCCTTCCTCCGAAACATAGCCGTAAATTGCTCTGAGACGCGTTTAAATAATTCTTGGATACAAGTCGAGTTCCCAATGAAAGTCGAAGACATCTTTAACCCTCTTGGGGGGATATCGCAAACTGCCGTTTTAACGTTATTGGGGATCCACTCCACGAAATAGGAGCTATTTTTATTTTGGATGTTAAGCATCTGCTCGTCAACTTCCTTCGTGGACATTCTCCCCCGAAAAATGGCAGCAACAGTTAGGTATCGTCCATGACGAGGATCGCACGCAGCCATCATATTTTTGGCATCAAACATTTGGAGTACTAACTCAGGGACGGTTAACGCGCGATATTGTTGGCTTCCTCGCGATGTTAATGGAGCAAATCCAGGGATGAAGAAGTGAAGGCGAGGAAACGGGATCATATTGACGGCTAGTTTTCTTAAATCGGAGTTCAATTGCCCCGGAAATCTCAAGCACGTAGTCACCCCCGACAAGGTAGCCGACACCAAATGATTCAAATCCCCGTACGTAGGAGTCGTCAATTTTAAAGTACGGAAACAGATGTCATACAAAGCCTCATTATCGATACAAAAAGACTCATCCGTGTTTTCGACCAGTTGATGTACGGATAACGTAGCGTTATAAGGCTCAACCACGACATCCGATACCTTCGGCGATGGCACAATCGAAAAAGTGGCCATAATTCTATCCGGATATTCTTCGCGAATTTTCGAAATTAACAGCGTTCCCAAACCAGAACCAGTTCCACCACCTAAACTGTGCGTTAATTGAAAACCTTGCATGCAATCGCATCCCTCAGCTTCCTTCCTTACAACGTCCAAAACAGAATCGACCAATTCGGCGCCTTCCGTATAATGTCCTTTCGCCCAGTTATTTCCGGCGCCGCTTTGCCCAAAAACGAAATTGTCCGGCCTAAAAATTTGGCCGAATGGACCGGATCGCACCGAATCCATCGTTCCGGGTTCTAAGTCGACCAAAACCGCGCGAGGGACATATTTGCCTCCGGTCGCTTCGTTAAAGTAGACGTTAATGCGCTCCAATTGGAGATCGGAATCGCCATGGTAAGTTCCGGTGGGGTCAATACCGTGCTCGTCGGAAATTACCTCCCAGAACTAAAACGAAATGTTGGGAGTGTTTGAAAAAATGTGGTTTACTAAATACCTTAGCTCCAATGTTATTTCCGCATTGGCCAGCTTGCATATGCACGATTTCTCTCATCCTAACGCAGTATTCAGGTTCAGTTAGTTAAGGTTTGATGGTACAAGCTGGGTGATAAAAAAGTTGTCATAAATATAATAAATTAAACAACTGTTTATTTCGTTGCTACGCTCGCCAACTTTGTGTTGTGATGTATGATGTAGATTTGATGTTATCGCCTACTAAAATTTTATGATGATTTATTTATATTAAAACGAGAAATATTTTTAAGAATCATGATGTGATGTGTATGCTAAATTGCAAATTAAAGGTTAATGTTTATGATGTTGTTTCAAAATTATATGATACTATTATTGAAATATCGAGGAAAAAATTGTTAAAGACGAAATTGTGGGATTATAAATTAAAAATAATATGAAATTTTTTTTTAAGTATAATGATATATTTTTTTCTTTTTTTTGCAAATACGGCAGATACGGCAGAGCTGAGGTATTAACATCATCGGTAACTCTGAAAGGTGCATTGAGCCGAAAACAAGGTTGCCCAATATCGACGTTTAAGTAATGCACCGGACGTGCACAGTCCTACAGATCCAGAAATCTCGTTAACCAGTATATTTGCTAAGTTGTTCAAATAAAATCTTCTCCATGACCTTTGAGAGAACCGGCAATATGCTTATTGGTCTTAAGTCAGACAGCCTTTGAGGATTATTAATTTTAGGGAGAGGGTTTAGCAACGATATCTTCCACGAAGCCGGGAAGGAACTAGTCTCTATGACATGATTTACAATATGCCTAACATATGGTATAATATGGGGGCAACACAATTTAATAATTTTTATATTTAAGCTGTCATAGCCCATAGCATTACTGTTTATTGCGTTAATAGTTTCCTCAACATTGGCTTCAGCAATTTCAGCAAATTCAAAAACCTGGCTATATAGTGTATTATTAAGATAATAATTGTAAAGGTCAGCATCATACCCCGATATACCCACACCGACAAAGTGCGCATTCAACTGGTTTAGATTTTTAAGGTGCCCCGGTATTGAAATTTGCTTCTTATTAAACAAACCCGCTTTTCTCAATGCTGTCCATTTATTATTCGCGCTTTTAATTTGAAGTTCAAGATATACTCTGCGCTCTGTACGGATAGCTTCCGTAACAATTCGTCTCATTGTTTTATAAAAGGTCCATTTCTGCGGTAGCTTTGTTGCTTTAAATTCCCGATATGCCCTGTCCCGAATTTTTTGCATAGACTTGATTGTATCAGTGATCCATGGCGACTGAGGTCTTACAAAACTGCAGGTTTTCAGTGGACAATGTACCTCTAGAACACTACATAGGGCGTTATTGAAAAAATTTACCTTAGAGTCCCCGTCGGGAATATCAAAAATGTGAAAAAATGGTATTCTATACAGATCATCAGCGAAGTGATCGTATTGAAAATATTTGAAAGAGCGAAAGGTTCTAATCAGAGGCGGATGTGGTGGGGTTTTAAATTTTAGATTGCAGTATATTATATCATGATCTGACATACTTCCCCCGTCTGCGACACCCACCTCACTGACCATGCTGCGGTCAGATACCAGTATCAGATCAATCAAAGTAGACGATGATTGGGTTACTCGTGTTGGTCCCTCAATGACTTGATACAAGCCCGTAGAATCAAGTAAATCTTGTAGCGCTAGGGACTTACGGGTGGTCACGGTCAACATGTCGATATTAAAATCCCCAAGAATCACCACCCTGTCCACCGTAGGCAATATAATCGAAAGCGCGTCCTCTAATTCATTGAGGAACAAATTATAATTGACTAACGGGGGTCTGTACACAACCGCCAAGGCAAGACTCAATCCGTCCAGTCGTATCTTGACCCACAGCTGCTCTATTGCATCACTCACATCGACTGTGGTAACTGTTATTCCTTCCCTTATATACAACGCAATGCCCCCCGCTCTAGTCTCTCTATCCTTTCGAAGCACCTTATATCCGTTCACAGATATTGCATTATTATCGATTCCAGCAGACAGCCAAGTCTCGCTCAATGCAAACACATGATAGCCACCGTCAGCCAACACACCTTCAAAATCATTAAAAGATTTAAGCAAAGATCTAATATTTAGATGACCGATGCTAAACATCTGCACAGTCCGCAACAATTACGCAGAAACTCCTGCAAAAAAGAGAAACGAAGAAAGAAAAAAGAGAAAAACAGAGAAAAACCAAGAAAAAAGAAAAGAAAGAGAAAAAAAAAAAATATATGCATATAATACAAATGTATGTATATATCAATCGCCCCCCAACAGATGCTCCCCACACGCGCCTGAACCGAGAAAAAAGAGAAAAATACATAATAAAAAGAAAAAACAAACTTAAGAATGGATGTCAGTCGAAATATCAAAGGAGAAAAAAAAAATTTATATATATATATATATATAAAACAAAAAAAAAATAAAACAAAATACTTAATACTTAGGAAGTAGAATGGAAACAGCCATGGAAATTGGTGCCGACTTCTAGGCCTTATATATGACGCACTCGTCTTCTAACTCGAGGCATCTCCTTGGGTTGTGGTTGGTGCTTTTATATGTATGTTAAATTGAAGCTTAAAGATTCTAGTTTATGATGTGATATAAAAACTATATGATAATATTGAAATTTCCAGAAAAAAGTTATTAAAGAAGAAATTGTCAAATTTATGAATCAAAAATTATAAAAAATTTTCAAAATATCATATCGGCCGTGTTTTTAAGAATTATGATATGATATGTATGTTGAATTGAAACTTAAGGATTCTAGATGATAATGTGATACAAAAATGCTATGATAATATTATTGAAATTTCCAGAAAAAAGTTATTAAAGAAGAAATTGTCAAATTTATGAATCAAAAATTATAAAAAATTTTCAAAATATCATATCGGCCGTGTTTTTAAGAATTATGATATGATATGTATGTTGAATTGAAACTTAAGGATTCTAGATGATAATGTGATACAAAAATGCTATGATAATATTATTGAAATTTCCAGAAAAAAGTTATTAAAGAAGAAATTGTCAAATTTATGAATTAAAAATTATAAAAAATTTGCAAAATATCATATCGGCCGTGTTTTTAAGAACTATGATATGATATGTATGATAAATTGAAGCTTAAAGATCCTATTTTATGATATGATATAAGAATGATATGATAATATTATTGATATTTCCAGAAAAAAGTTATTAAAGAAGAAATTGTCAAATTTATAAATCAAAAATTATAAGAAATTTTCAAAAAATCATATCGGCCGTGTTTTTAAGAATTATGATATGTATGTTAAATTAAAGCTTAAAGATTCTAGATTATGATGTGATATAAAGATGATATGATAATATTATTGAAATTTTCAGAAAAAAGTTATTAAAGAAGAAATTGTCATATTTATGAATCAAAAATTATAAAAAAATTTCAAAAAATCATATCGGCCGTGTTTTTAAGAATTATGATATGATATGTATGTTAAATTGAAACTTAAAGATTCTAGATTATGATATGATATAAAAATGATATGATAATATTATTGAAATTTCCAGGAAAAAGTGATTAAAGAAGAAATTGTCAAATTTATGAATCAAAAATTATAAAAAATTTTCAAAATATCATATCGGCCGTGTCTTTAAGAATTATGATATCATATGTATGTTAAATTGGAGCTTAAAGATTCTAGATTATGATGTGATATAAAAATGTTATGACAATATTATTGAAATTTCCAGAAAAAAGTTATTAAGGAAAAAATTGTCAAATTTAGAAATCCAAAATTATAAGAAATTTTCAAAAAATCATATCGGCCGTGTTTTTAAGAATTAAGATATGATATGTATGTTAAATTGAAGCTTAAAGATTCTAGATTATGATGTGATATAAAAATTATATGATAATATTATTGAAATTTCCAGAAAAAAATTATTAAAGAAGAAATTGTCAAATTTATGAATCAAAAATTATAAAAAATTTTCAAAATATCATATCGGCCGTGTTTTTAAGAATTATGATATGATATGTATGTTAAATTGAAGCTTAAAGATTCTAGATTATGATGTGATATAAAAATGTTATGATAATATTATTAAAATTTCCAGAAAAAAGTTATTAAGGAAAAAATTGTCAAATTTATAAATCAAAAATTATAAAAAAATTTCAAAAAATCATATCGGCCATGTTTTTAAGAATTATGATATGATATGTATGTTAAATTGAAGCTTAAAGAGTCTACTTTATGATGTAATATAAAAACTATAACATAATATTATTGAAATTTCCAAGAAAAAGTTGTTAAAGATGAAATTGTTTGATTATAAAATGAAATTTTCAAAAAATCATATTGTTTGTGTTTTTAAGAATAATAATATGATATGTATGTTAAATTGACACTTAAAGAGTCTACTTTATGATGTAATATAAAAACTATAACATAATATTATTGAAATTTTCAAGAAAAAGTTGTTAAAGATGAAATAGTTTAATTATAAAAAAAATTAAACATTTTTCATCGTTATTATCATTGATTTAATTTTATAATCACATAAACGATGAGTTTAGAATCGATTTTATCTAAAAAAATTTGTAGAGTTATCCGCTAGATGGAACTACTTTTGAAGTGTTATTGTCAATAAGTTTTACAGAAAACTGTAACGATCATAACCTCTAAATAAATTTGCACAAAATGTGAAATTAAATTTTTTGATATTGTTTTATTAATAATAATTGAATTCACTTTATTTATCAATTGGTGAAGTCCCATTTATAAATATATGATTAAGAAATGTGACTCAACGATAAGATAAAATGTTTTAAAATTTTAGGTTAGATTTAGTTATATGTAGTATAGGTTAAAATGAGTGAAAGTAACAACGGTAAAGATACTATTAAGGTTATCAAATATAATATAACTTTATTTATTAAGTATATATTTCTTAATATTATTTAGGAAGACTCAAATATAGAGTTAATTCGATTACTAATTGAAAATGGCGTCAAACTTAACGCTGAGGATTTGCTCGAAGAAGAAACACCACTACATTACGCCGCTAAACATTCAAACATTGAGATGGGATCATTACTAATTAAAAGTGGAGTTGATGTTAACGTTAAAGATAAAAACGATGCGACACCTTTACACCACGCAGCTCAGTGTGCAAACATTGAATTTGTTCAATTTCTAATCGAAAATGGTGCCGAAATTAACGCAAAAAATAAAAACCTAGAAACACCTTTACATCGTGCCGCTATCTATGAAAAATTTGAAACGGGGTGTTTCCTCATTAAAAAAGGAGCTGATGTTAATGCAGGAAACATTTATAAATACACCCCTTTACACTTATCCACTTCAATCCCAAATTTGGAGTTGAGTCGTTTCTTAATTACGAATGGTGCGGATGTTAACGCAATAAACGACTTTAAATTTACACCCTTACACTTTGCTGCTGTTTCAAAAAACTTAGAACTTGGGTTAATCTTGCTCAAAAAGGGGGTGGATGTGAATGCTAAAGAAGATTATGGAAAAACCCCATTTCTTATTGCATCCAATGAATTTAAAAACTTTGAATTCGCTCGATTTTTATTTGAAAACGGAGCCGATATTAATATTAAAAGTGACGATGGAAAAACTGCTTTACATTGCGCAGCAAGAACGAAGAATTTAAAATTGGCCCAATTGCTTGTTGAAAACGGGTTGGATGTTAATGCTAAGAGTAATAAGGGGAGGACTCCTCTATATTATGCGATTCGAAATTGTAGGTTTATTGATGAAAAAATGGAGATGTGTAAATTTTTAGCTAAAAATGGGGCTGTTTTGTAAATAAATAAATTTTATTACACTTGATTAGTTATTACTTAATTTTGAAATCATTTTCAACAATTTTGTAACTCTAAAATCATTCTTGAACAACTTGGAGTAACAATAAATCACTTTCAAGTCATTTAGAAAAGTTTTCAAGTATAATCATCCATTTTTACATCATTTTGAACAATTTTGAAAAGTTGAGATCATACCTATACCAATACTCAACGATTTTGAACCATTTTGGAATCATTTTTGAACTACTTTGAACAACTTGAAGTAACAGTAAATCACGTTTGAGTCATATAGACAAGTCAATTTGAGACAATTTTGAACAAGTATGCAAAGTTGAGATCATATGTAAACTAGTTTTCAGTGATTTTGAGTACCTTGGAATAGCAATAAAGAAGTTTCCAATCATTTAGACAAGTTTCCAAAGATTTTGAACCATTTTCAAACCATTTTTAACAATTTCGCAAATCTGGAATCATTTTTGAACTAATATTCATTGAAATGATATATAACAATTTATTACGTAATTCTTAATTTAGCCCAAACGAATTTTGTTCTAAAATGTTGCAATCACGATTTTGATTAATTAGGAAAAAAATCATTAATTTTGAAAAATCACGCTGAGCTTAAATATAAAAATGGAAGGATGAGTTATACACCATTTTAAAGCTAAAAATGTTCTCTTTATAATGATGTATAACACTTTATTACGTAGCTTTTAATTTAGCCACAACGAATTTTTTTCTAAAATGTTGCAATTACGATTTTGATTAATTAGGGAAAAAATCGTTAATTTTGAAAAATCGCGCTGAGCTTAAATGTAAAAATGGAAGGATGAGTTATACACCATTTTAAAGCTAAAAGTGTCCTCTTTAAAATGATGTATAACACTTTATTACGTAGTTTTTAATTTAGCCAAAACGAATTTTTTTCTAAAATGTTGCAATTACGATTTTGATTAAATAGAGAAAAAATCGTTAATTTTAAAAATCGCGCTGAGCTTAAATATAAAAATGGAAGGATGAGTTATACACCATTTTAAAGCTAAAGGTGTCTTCTTTAAAATAATGTATAACAGTTTATTACGTAGTTTTTAATTTAGCCCAAACGAATTTTATTCTAAGATGTTGCAATAACGATTTTGATTAAATAGGGAAAAAATCGTTAATTTTGACAAATCGCGTAGGGCTTAAATATAAAAATGGAAGGATGAGTTATACACCATTTTAAAGCTAAAACTGTCTTTAAAATAATGTATAACAGTTTATTACGTAGTTTTTAATTTAGCCCAAACGAATTTTATTCTAAAATGTTGCAATTACGATTTTGATTAAATAGGGAAAAAATCGTTAATTTTGACAAATCGCGTTGGGCTTAAATATAGAAATGGAAAGATGAGTTATATACCGTTTTAAAGCTAAAAGTGTCCTCTTTAAAATGATGTATAACACTTTATTACGTAGTTTTTAATTTAGCCCAAACGAATTTTACTCTAAAATGTTGCAATTACGATTTTGATTAAAATGTTTTATACAAAGGTTGTTTGACTCACCACTTTTTATTACGTAAAATTATTTTTACTTATACAGGGTGTTTCATTTAGGCGTAATGGAAAGTATGTAGATTTTTTTTAATGGAAAAATATATACAGAATGTCCCCGGATCGAGTTACAAAGAGGAAAAAAATTGTTGTTACTGATTTTTCAAATTTATCTCAGCATAAATAATGCGTCGGATATGTTCAAACTACTAAATCGCATGAATTTTATACTCTAACTATAAAAGTTAACTAATTATTCCAATTTTTATGTAATAATTGGACTTTCTTCTAAATTGAAAATTTTTCAAGTTCAATTTATGATATGTAACCATAGAAACCATAAAAGTTACAACTTATGTTGGTGAGATTAAGTCTTTTCATGCAATGTTAACCGTGAAAGAGAGAATTTATTTAGTACTGTGCTATGGTACTAGTGAATCATGTTTTCGTGTAGTTATACAAAAATTCCAGCAAAAATATCTCATGTTGGAGCTCACAAACTTATTAAAAAATGTTTGTGAAACAGGTTCTGTATTATCCATAAAGAGGCAGACAAAGAGACGAAATGAGGAAGACGCTGCTTTTCAGATAGCTTTCCAACAAATGACATTGTTTCTTCCCAGCATTGTCGTTATTGGAGCGATGTAAATCCAATTACTCTTAAATTTTGTACGGTCAATGTACTTTCAGCAAGACAGTTGCCCAGCTTACCAAGTACACATTGTGCCAAATGGTTAAATTTACAATTTCGTCAAAAATGGATTGGACGAAATGGTCCTATTTGATGGCCAGGACGTAGTCCTGATCTTACAATTATGGACTTTTATTTTTGGCGACGATTGAAACAAATTGTTTACAGTGAACCATAACAAGACGATGCAGAACTATTAAAACTAAGAATAATTAAAGGGATAGAATCTCTACCACTGGCGGAAATTCGTACTTCTTATAAAGAATTTAGAACTCGTCTTCAAATGTGTGACGAATTAGGAGGGCATTTGTTTGAATGAAGATTTGTTCACTTACAAATAATAGTTATTTATATTACAAGTGGGCTAGCAACATAATTACAGTACGAGTGTGGAGAATTGCACGACGAGGTCGTGTAATCACACTTGTACTGTAATTATGCTCTAGCCCACGTGTGATATACAGCATTTTATCTACGACTGCTAAAAATTAATAAAAATCAATTTCTTTAAAAAAGTCTATTTGACATTTATAAAAATATTTTGAAATGATTGTTGACTATTTTGAATTGTCAGTTTCAACAACATGTTTACTCATCTGGAATAAGTGTTTCGCAATGGAAAAACATAACAATTAATGTTTATAATAAATAGTATTGTTTCTCTGTAAGTAGATAGCACTTTTTCTTTTGTATTGTTGCTCGTTTCAATAAATTAAGTCTGTTCTGATTAGGCTAAAAATGCGTTACGTAATGAAACCAGTGCGGTAATGAACTTCATTACGTAATTCAAATGAGTGCGGTAATGATGACTTATCCAAGCAGTCGTAGATAAATAATATTTATTACTATAGATCTACTATAGATCTTTTGTGTCATGGCGCCAGCGAGTTCGGCACTAAACGAGGCACGAGTTAAAACTTGCAAAAAGTGCAATAGAATCGCGCTTACCGAGTTAACGTGTGAAAAATGCGAAACTACATCACACCGTAGCTGCATTAAATTACTAAAATCGGTTAAAATTATTAACGAAAGAACGGTAAATTGTTGTGAAATGAATGAAATTGAAAACGAGGACGAGTTGGAGTTGTCCTTTGGTAGTGCGGTTGAGGAGTGCTAAACAAACAAGGAAGTTACGTGCCTTAAACAGCTTTTATTACATAAAGACAGTACAATCAATGATCTGCGTGAATATATAAAATCGCTTAAGCAATGAATAACGTTATTAAATGCGTTTGTGAAATTAAATAATGTGGAAACTTTAAAAATAAGTGTTAACAACGAGGAACCGGTCAACCGGCGCTCGATCGGAGTACGGGAATTTAGCCCCCCATTTTTTGATTTTTAAATTTTTTATTGTTGTAGATTGTTCTAGAATTGTTCTACATTGTTCCAAAGCGGCAAATCGAAAAAATAAAAACTCCGAGAGAAAACCGAAAAAACAAGTTTTATGACTAGCCCCCCACTTTTGGAAAAATCAAATTTTCTTTGTTGTTCTGGGTTGTTCTAGTTGTTCTAGTTATTGTTCTAGAAAATCAAAATTATAGGATACAGCATTACGAAGTTATAACTAAAAATAGGTTTGGCCGCCGAAATGTCTAGTTGATTGCTGTGACCATAGTTTTTCTATTATCAATTCCATATTACTAATATATACTTACTATAGCTAACGCAATCTGGAACAGCTATTATTTTCACTAGAACAACTCTCTAAAGGGCACTTTACTCTTTGAAAATTAAAGTTTTTGGAAGTTTCAGTCAGTAAACAATTATTGCAGTTTTTAGTCCTACAATAACTAAATTATTCTTTAAACAGTTGTGTGCAAAGAAACGCAATATTTGAAATAGCATTCACTATTATCACGCCGGCCATTTTCTGGTTTCCAAAATAATTTATTCCTGTTAATAGTTCAGTTCTTTTTTTATATGTTGCTTTACTAGAACCGGTTTTTAAAAATAATTTTAGGAAACTAAAGCAATCTGTGCAAACATTCTCAATATGATTTCTAAATGAATTGTGTATACGGGCAAATGCTAAACTATGAAATATGCTGTCGAATCCGCAAGTATTTTGAACAATATATTTTTTATTTTTTATTGAAATAGATATTAATGAAACTTACTTATAAACTTATGAAAGAATTAGTAACTGAAACTTTCAAAAATTTTAATTTTCAAAGTGTAAAGTGTTCTTTATAGAGTTGTTCTAGTGAAAATATTAGCTGTTCCAGATTGCGTTAGCTATAATAAGTATATATTTGTAATATGGAATTGATAATAGAAAAACTATGGTCACAGCAATCAACTAGACATTTTGGCAGCCCAACCTACTTTTGTTAGTTTAGTTTATTTATTAATTTATTACTTAGTTTTGCAAAATAAAATACACTTTACATCGCAACTTATGTTTTATTATCATAAGTTTAAAGAGAAAGGTGATTTTTAGGATATTAGATGGTCAGATTATTCCATATTTCAGTTATCAGTTTTCTCGCGGAGTTTTTATTTTTTCGATTTGCCGCTTTGGAACAATGTAGAACAACTCTAGAACAACAATAAAAAATTTTAAAATCAAAAAATGGGGGGCTAACTTCCCGCACTCTAATTCATCAGGTGTTAATTTTACAAAAAGTTCCCAATCAATATCATTCTCTGTAAGGTTATTTAAGTATTATTTATTTTATTATCTGTTGTAGGTAAGTCATTTCTACAGCTTACAATAACCGGTCTAGTGCGGTATGATAGACTTGTCCCAACATACTATAAAAACCGTTTTTAAATAGTTTTTGTGGCTGGATAGAA